GGATGAGCAGTGGGAATGCCCGTTTGGGGTCAGTTTTAGGGGATGGACAGTGGGAATGCCCTGTTTGGGGTCAGGTTTAGGATGAGCAGTGGGAATGCCCTGTTTGGGGTCAGTTTAGGGGATGAGCAGTGGAATGCCCCGTTTGGGGTCAGTTTAGGGGATGAGCAGTGGGAATGCCCCGTTTGGGGTCAGTTTAGGGGATGAGCAGTGGGAATGCCCTGTTTGGGGTCAGTTTAGGGGATGAGCAGTGGGAATGCCCCATTTGGGGTCAGTTTAGGGGATGAGCAGTGGGAATGCCCCGTTTGGGGTCAGTTTTAGGGGATGGACAGTGGGAATGCCCTGTTTGGGGTCAGGTTTAGGATGAGCAGTGGGAATGCCCTGTTTGGGGTCAGTTTAGGGGATGGACAGTGGGAATGCCCTGTTTGGGGTGAGTTTAGGGGATGAGCAGTGGGAATGCCCTGTTTGGGGTCAGTTTAGGGGATGAGCAGTGGGAATGCCCTGTTTGGGGTCAGTTTTAGGGGATGAGCAGTGGGAATGCCCTGTTTGGGGTCAGTTTAGGGGATGAGCAGTGGGAATGCCCTGTTTGGGGTCAGGTTTAGGATGAGCAGTGGGAATGCCCTGTTTGGGGTCAGTTTAGGGGATGGACAGTGGGAATGCCCTGTTTGGGGTCAGTTTAGGGGATGAGCAGTGGCAATGCCCCATTTGGGGTCAGTTTAGGGGATGAGCAGTGGGAATGCCCCGTTTGGGGTCAGTTTAGGGGATGAGCAGTGGGAATGCCCTGTTTGGGGTCAGGTTTAGGATGAGCAGTGGAATGCCCTGTTTGGGGTCAGTTTAGGGATGCGCAGTGGAATGCCCTGTTTGGGGTCAGTTTAGGGGATGGACAGTGGGAATGCCCTGTTTGGGGTCAGTTTAGGGGATGGACAGTGGGAATGCCCCGTTTGGGGTCAGTTTTAGGGGATGAGCAGTGGGAATGCCCCGTTTGGGGTCAGTTTTAGGGGATGGACAGTGGGAATGCCCTGTTTGGGGTCAGGTTTAGGATGAGCAGTGGGAATGCCCCGTTTGGGGTCAGGTTTAGGATGAGCAGTGGGAATGCCCTGTTTGGGGTCAGTTTAGGGGATGAGCAGTGGGAATGCCCTGTTTGGGGTCAGGTTTAGGGGATGGACAGTGGGAATGCCCTGTTTGGGGTCAGTTTAGGGGATGGACAGTGGGAATGCCCTGTTTGGGGTCAGGTTTAGGATGAGCAGTGGAATGCCCTGTTTGGGGTCAGTTTAGGGGATGAGCAGTGGGAATGCCCTGTTTGGGTCAGGTTTTGGGGATGGACAGTGGGAATGCCCTGTTTGGGGTCAGTTTAGGGGATGAGCAGTGGGAATGCCCTGTTTGGGGTCAGTTTAGGGGATGAGCAGTGGGAATGCCCCGTTTGGGGTCAGTTTAGGGGATGAGCAGTGGGAATGCCCCGTTTGGGGTCAGTTTAGGGGATGAGCAGTGGGAATGCCCTGTTTGGGGTCAGGTTTAGGATGAGCAGTGGGAATGCCCTGTTTGGGGTCAGTTTAGGGGATGAGCAGTGGGAATGCCCCGTTTGGGGTCAGTTTAGGGGATGGACAGTGGGAATGCCCTGTTTGGGGTCAGTTTAGGGGATGAGCAGTGGGAATGCCCCGTTTGGGGTCAGTTTAGGGGATGAGCAGTGGCAATGCCCCATTTGGGGTCAGTTTAGGGGATGAGCAGTGGGAATGCCCCGTTTGGGGTCAGTTTAGGGGATGAGCAGTGGGAATGCCCTGTTTGGGGTCAGGTTTAGGATGAGCAGTGGGAATGCCCTGTTTGGGGTCAGTTTAGGGGATGGACAGTGGGAATGCCCCATTTGGGGTCAGTTTAGGGGATGAGCAGTGGGAATGCCCTGTTTGGGGTCAGTTTAGGGGATGAGCAGTGGGAATGCCCCGTTTGGGGTCAGTTTAGGGGATGAGCAGTGGGAATGCCCCGTTTGGGGTCAGTTTAGGGGATGAGCAGTGGGAATGCCCTGTTTGGGGTCAGTTTAGGGGATGAGCAGTGGCAATGCCCCATTTGGGGTCAGTTTAGGGGATGAGCAGTGGGAATGCCCTGTTTGGGGTCAGGTTTAGGATGAGCAGTGGGAATGCCCTGTTTGGGGTCAGTTTAGGGGATGAGCAGTGGGAATGCCCCTTTTGGGGTCAGGTTTAGGATGAGCAGTGGGAATGCCCTGTTTGGGGTCAGGTTTAGGATGAGCAGTGGGAATGCCCTGTTTGGGGTCAGTTTAGGGGATGAGCAGTGGGAATGCCCTGTTTGGGGTCAGTTTTAGGGGATGAGCAGTGGGAATGCCCCGTTTGGGGTCAGTTTAGGGGATGAGCAGTGGGAATGCCCCGTTTGGGGTCAGTTTTCGGGGATGGACAGTGGGAATGCCCTGTTTGGGGTCAGGTTTAGGATGAGCAGTGGGAATGCCCTGTTTGGGGTCAGTTTAGGGGATGAGCAGTGGGAATGCCCCGTTTGGGGTCAGTTTAGGGGATGGACAGTGGGAATGCCCCGTTTGGGGTCAGTTTTAGGATGAGCAGTGGGAATGCCCCGTTTGGGGTCAGTTTAGGGAATGCCCTGTGTGGGTTTGGGGCTCTCACCGCTGTCTGTGCTGTGATGTGAGTGCAGCCCACGATCTTGGCCCCAGCCAGGGGCTTCTCCCCCTGAGCTCTCTTCCTCAGAGCCATCAGCGCCGGCATCTCTGTGAGGGAAACGGGAAAAGGAAAATTGGGATGGGATGGGAACAGCTCAGGAGGAACACCTGGCATTCCCATAAACTCACACAGCTTCAAAACAGCCAAAGCCTCCACAGCAAACACACCAAAATCCCCAAATCCCAAACACATCAAAATCCCCAAATTCCTCTGGAGTTTTCTCTGTTGTGTTCAAATTTCTGCCCCCAGGTGAGGCTGCAGGAAAATCAGCTTTGGGCTGAGGATTTGGGATTTGCTGCTCTATCTCTCCAATGTCCAACACCTAAATCCTGCCTGGCCTTTGCTTTTTTTATTTTTTGGAGGTAAGCAAGCTAAAACTGTGACATTTATGGGATGGATTTCATCTTTTCTACTGATTTAACAAAATGAGTTTGATTGCAGGGTACTCCTAACCCTGTACCTCCTTTTCCATCCCCAAAATCCCATGGAAGCTTCCCCATTCCAACAGGAATGGGGTCAAGAACGCCTGCCTGATGTTCCCATGAATTTGCATGGCTGTGGCAGCTTCAAAACAGCCAAAGCCTTGAGAGAAAACCCCAAATCCATCACAATGACTCCAAATCCTGCTGGATTTTCCGATATTTTGTTCAAATTTTTGCCTGCCAGCTGAGGCTGCAGGAAAATCAGCTTTGGGCTGAGGGTTTGGGATTTGCTGATTTGCTCCACCTCTCCAGTATCCAAACCCTGCCTGGCCTTTTTTTTTTTTTTTTTTTGAGGTAATCAAGCTAAACCAAAATTGTGAAGTTTATGGGATGGATTTCATCTTTTCTACTGATTTAACAAAATAACTTCAACCATAGAATAGTCTTCTAATGGTTGGAACTACACAGCACAACCCTGTAACTTCTTTCCCATCCCCCAAAATCCCACAGAAGCTTTCCCATCCCCCAAAACCCCATAGGAGCTTTTCCAACTCCCAAAATCCCACAGAAGCTTTCCCATCCCCCAAAACCCCATAGGAGCTTTCCCAACTCCCAAAATCCCACAGAAGCTTTCCCATCCCCCAAAACCCCACAGAAGCTTTCCCAACTCCCAAAACCCCACAGAAGCTTTCCCAACGCCCAAAATCCCATAGATCCTCTCCCAATCCCCAAAATTCCTCAGAAGCTTTCCCAACCCCCAAAACCCCACAGAAGCTTTCCCATCCCCCAGAATTCCACAGAAATTGTCCCAACCCACAAAATCCCACAGAAGCTCTCACAACCCCCAAAATCCCAGAGAAACTTTCTCAACTCCCAAAATTCCACAGACGCTTTCCCAACTCCTAAAACCCCACAGAAGCTTTTCCAACTCCAAAAATCCCACAGCTTTCCAATCCCCAAAACCCCACAGAAGCTTTCCCAACCCCCAAAATTCCTCAGAAGCTTTCCCAACCCCCAAAATTCCTCAGAAGCTTTCCCACCCCAACGATCTGGGGCAGGAGGAGCCCCGAGGGGCAGAGGAGGGACCTTACCCTGCTCGGCGATCTCGATCTCGCGGCGCCCGAACTCGGCCTGTTTGATGTTCTTGACGCAGAAGTCGAAGCTGCCCTTGGAGTTCTTCTGCTGCTTGTCCCTCGGCGAGGTCTCATCGTCGGAGCTGTCCGTGCAGGAGGCAGCTGCAGGGAGCAGGGCAGGTCAGCACCGGGGGAAAACGTTCCCCAAAATCCCCAGCACCCACAGGGAAGGGTGAGGGTGGCCCACAGAGGGTGTCCATGGATGTCCATCCATCCCAGCTCCTTCCATCCCCAGCTGGGATCTCTCCTTCTCCTCACTAGGGGAATTTTTCCAGCTGGATTTAGCTGGGATGAATTCTTAATTCTCATTGATCTCTACTTCAACATCACAGCAGAGGTGATGGGATTGAGCACTGCCTGGTTCCCACACAGGCTCATCTCCATGGCCTTCTCCCACCTCTCTTTCCAAACACTCTTCCCCCCAAACATTCTCCAACCTCTCTTCTCAAAGTCCTCCCAATTCTCTTACCCAAGGTTCTCCCACGTCTCTTCCCAAAGGTTCTCTCACCTCTCTTCCCAAAGCTTTCCCACCTCTCTTCCCCAAAAGTTCTCCCACCTCTCTTCCCTAAAGTTCTCCCATGTCTCTATCCCAGTTCTCCCACTTATCTTCCCAAAGTTCTCCCACCTCTCTTCCCCAAGGTTTTCCCACCTCTCTTCCCAAAGTTCTCCCACCTCTTTTCCTAAAGTTCTCCCACCTCTCTTCTCAAGGTTCTCCCACGTCTCTTCCTAAAGCTCTCCCACCTCTCTTCTCAAATGTTCTCTCACCTCTTCCCCCAAAAGTTCTCCCACCTCTCTTCCCCCAGAAGTTTTCCCACTTCTCCAAAGTTCTCCCACCTCTCTTCCCTAAAGTTCTCCCATGTCTCTATCCCAGTTCTCCCACTTATCTTCCCAAGGTTCTCCCACCTCTCTTCCTCAACATTCTCCCACCTCTCTTCCCAAAAGTTTTCCCACTTCTCTTCCTGAATTTCAGGCCTCCACAGCTCCAAGACATTGCACAAAATGCCTGCTGAGGGTTAGAGCACTTCCAAACCCAGCAGGAATTGTAATTTCAGACCCTATTTCATCCTTTCATCCCGAACAGCCGGGACAGTTGACGATTATCCCGTCACTGTGGGATTCCCAATCCTTGGGTTTGCTCCATTTTGGTGTTCCCTCACAGTGACAATGAGCTGCTGCTGCTTGGGATGGTTGGAAGGAACTTCTCCATTGAGAGGATAATCCACAAGCCTGGCGTGGATTGTCCAGGGAGCTGCTGGCTCCCCACCCTCACAGGATTTCAGGAATTGTTTGGAAAGCCGGGGATCACCAGATCCTGTCCTGAGCCCCACGGGATGGGACTGAGGGTGTGGATGTGCTGAATTCACTCCAGGATCTATCAATAATTGTCTTCCTTCCTTATCAGTGTGCTCCAAACCTCTGATTATGGAATTAGCCCATGGAAGAGCCCTTCATGGAGTTATAAATCCCCTCTCCCGTTGGATTCCTAAAATCCCGTATACTTGAATAAAATCACATCCATTTCTGATTGGAGTCCTGATGGATCAACCACCACTTCGGATCAGCTGAAGGAATCCTTTGTGCCACGTTTTCTGGAATTCGGATTTTGGATTGTGCCACATTTTCAGATTCTCTGGAATCCTTCCCCACTGTGGGAAACCAAACCTCTCCTTCCATCTTCCAGGACTGGCACCAGCAGCCAGAGAAATGCAATGGGCTCCAAATCCCAGCTCCTCCTTCCTCTCCAGGTGACCCTTCCAGGACCCAACTTGCCATTCCCACATTCCTTAAGGAATTGTTCTGCTCCAAGTCCTTTCTTCTCCAGTTGATCCTTCCAGGACCCAACTGGCCATACCCTCATTCTTCATGGAATTTTTCTGCTCCAAGTCCTTCTTCTCCAGCTCCTGTGGCGCCTGTAAACTGAACCCGGGGCCTGGCATCCAATGATTTCGTGTCCACTCCAGAGGAATTCCGTGGTGGAACAGCCCCATCCCTGATGGCCCTGGTGGAGCTGGCTGATATTTTGGATCACTGGGAATGATGGACACGGTGACGGATACTCCTCCTTCCACATCCCCAACTGAACCTGGGGCCTGGCATCCAATGATTTCGTGTCCATCCCACAGGAATTCCATGGTGGAACAGCCCCATCCCTGATGGCCCTGGTGGAGCTGGCTGATATTTTGGATCACTGGGAATGATGGACACGGTGACGGATACTCCTCCTTCCGCATCCCCACCGGCCTCTGGAACCCACGGGAGCTGCTCCAGCCAATGGTCACAATTCCCAGTTTCCACCCCAACCCTGCGCTGGGGGAATGGGGCAGCGGGAAGGGGGGAGATTCTGGCAGTGCTGATCCCAGCAGCATTCCCAAAGAGCCACAGCATTCCAGTGGCATCCAGGCCTTGAGTGAGGATGGATTCCAACAGCCCCTGCAGTCATTCAGAGTAAATCCAACAATCTTCTACCCTGATCGGCTCCAGGGACATTTCCACACCAAAAACCCCAAAAAAGTTGTTAAACTTTTGGGGCCATGGGGTTGTGTTTCCTGCAGGACCCAACAAGCTCAAGCTTTCCCTCCTGGCTCGTGGGAAGGGTTTCGGGATTCCAAGGAAAAAGCTCAGCCTGGGCACTGTGAGTGTGCCAGGCTCCCCCAGAGCTGCCCAGCTCCCCATCCCAGGGAATTAGGAGGGAATTAGGCATTGCTGGAATTTCTCCCCATCCTTGCTGAGTGTTGAGTCCCACCCTGCCAACACCCCCTGAGGGCAGCGGGGCTCCAGCTCTGCTCCCAATCCCACAGCAGATCCCAAGGGACCAGGAGCCCGGATTAACCA